AGTCCATCTTTCAGCCCTGCTCTCTCCTTCTCCAGCTCCCTTCTAGTCTGGGCTGACACTCCACCCAGTCAGGTTGCCAAATCAACATAAGAAAGCCCTTCCTGAGGACCCATCTAAAAGGTAATTCTAAAGCCCTTCCTGACTGCCCCAAGGGCAAACTACCTCTAAAGGAACTATCAAATATCAACTATTCCTGAGGTTATGCAGGAAGGACAGAACAGTGTTCTCTTACAACTAAGTACATAATTTCCATTTTTACCTTTGCATAGTTTTAAAAAAATGAATCATCATGAATTACAGTTTCAAAGTAATTTATGATTTATTTTCATGTTTACAAAATTCCAGTACCAGTCTCTTCACCAGTATCTACTTCTCTCCACAACCGTCCCCATTTTCCCTCCCACCCCTCAGCCTTATTGGCAAGCACTTTTTTCCTTTTTCTTTAGGCACTATGATTTACAATACTGTTACTGATAGAGTATCATATATATCTTTATACCTCCTTTTAGCACCCAGTCCTCATCAAGAGTGACTGCTTTCCTCTGTTATTGTCATAGTGTTCCCTTCCCTGACCTATCTCCCCTCTCCTCCAGTGGCAAACTTCATACTGAGGACCAGTTCTTCTGCTCTTTGTATCTTTTGTCTTTGGACACTAATTATTGCACTAGTTTTCTTTATATCCTGTACTTGAGTGAGATCTTTTGTATCTGTTCCTCTCTTTTAACTCATTTCACTCAATATGATACTCTCCAGATCCAGCCATTCCGTAGAGCTGACCTGCAACTCTATGAAGACATACAATATAAAAAATAATGAACAACACAAAAGCTTGCTTGGTGGAGATTGGTATTCCTGGTTATCTGAGTACTGACTTGATTCATGTTTTATACTAGCAGACTATTACTTATGCCTCTTTTAGTCTGACTTTCCATTACACAATCATTTCCAAATGTGTATTGGCATTTCACAGGCCAGGACAGGCAGTTGCGGACCTAGATCCTCCCTTTTAAGTTCCCAGGGCATTTATGGGGGCCAATAACACTGAATTATGACCCTGTAGTTTCCCACCTACCCTTAGGGTGTGTGAGGTGGGTGAAGTACAGCAGTCACGCTGACACTAAGATGTTCTGATGAACAGCTTATTCCTGGGGCTGGGCTGAAGTCTCCTCAGAGTACAACAGGAAGGTGGGAGCCCAGGTCCTATCAGTACACATAGTCTGGGGGATTTTAAATTGGCAGCAGCTGGTGTGAGTCCAGAAGGCTATGCAGCAGGTAAACATAGGTACAGACAGACCTATGTTTCTGGCTCTATCTTTATAAACTCTAAGTAAAAAATTCTATCTTTCTTGGACTCTCTTTAATCCAAATTTCTGTCTTTGTTCTGCATGACAACTGAATCTATGCCATGGCTTAGCAATAACTTGCAAAAAAAAAAGCACCTGCTTAATTTGCCTTTTTTAAAAACAATCATTCTTTAGTCTGTTGCCCATAGACTTTGGTATTTACCTTATTTTTGTCTTAAATTTGATTTTTACAGGAAGGAGACTAAGTCTCAACCCTGTTAGTCCCAAATGATTATTACAAGATTTTGTTTTATATGCATTTTAATGAGAAGGAAGATTTTCATAGAAAATCTGTACAATTCTTTAGAGTAGAATCAGATTTTTCTTTAAATCCTTTTTAATTTTCTTCATCACTTGATCACTTGACATCCTGTTACTCATCGATTTGTTCAGGCAGGCACCAGTAACATCTCCATTTATCTCTGTTGCGTGCTAGTGTACCCTAATGGCGTCTGCTCGCTCCAGGAACACAAAGAGCCTCAAACCATTTGTTCAGGGTCTTGACGAAAAAGTCTGACCATCTCGTAGGTGGGCGGCCACACAATCTTTTGACATCCTGTGGAATCCAGTCGGAAATGGCTCTAGTCCAGTGGTCGTCTCCAAATCGCATTACATGTCCAGCCCGATTTTCGACACCTTGGCAAACAAGACAGAGTCCCTGATTCTCGATCGTCAATGGAGATTGGAACTCGGATTCCTTCTCTCAGTTGAGTGAAGCATGATACTCCAAGCACAACTCTTTCAATTCCTCTTTGGGAGACCCGAATAGCGTTCTCATCCTGTTTTCATAGGGCCCAGGTCTCTGAGGCGTATGTTAATGAAGGAAGAATGGTGGCGTCAAAGAGATGTGCCTGGAGCCGGAGGGTCTTCGTCCTCTTAGCTATGTCTTCAACACTCTTGAAGGCTTTCCATGCTGCTCTCTTCCTCCTGAGCAACTCAGATGCCAAGTCATTCTTCATGTTGAGTGGAGTCAAAGAGAAGTGCCTGGAGCCGGAGGGTCTTCATCCTCTTAGCTATTTCTTCGACACTTTTGAAGGCTTTCCATGCTGCTCTCTTCCTCCTGCGCAACTCAGATGCCAAGTCATTCTTCATGTTGAGTTCTCAACATAGGTTAAGAACTGTTGAGAACTGCTGCATTCTGAGATGTTCATTCTGTTGAGAGTGAATGGAATGTCAGGAACGAGTCCATTTCTCATAAATGTTGTCTTCGTGAGATTCAGCTGCAGTCTGACCTTTCCACACTCATGGATGAAGTTGGCCAGCATTTGTGCTGCTTGGCTGATGTTTGGTGTTATTAGAATGATGTCATCAGCAAAGCGGAGGTGGTGTAGTTGCCAACCATCTATCTTCACTCCCACTCCTTCCCATTCCAGTCGTTGCATGACATTCTCGAGGGTGGCACTGAAGAATTTTGGTGAAATGGTATCACCCTGCTGAACCCCTCTTTTGACATGGATGATAATTCCTTGTAGAATGGTGAGATCCTGCTGGTGAATTCGTAATACAGCTCATGGAGGATCCTGATGTACTGAGTTTGAGCACCCTGTTTGGCTAGGTCTTTGATGACCACTTTAGTCTCAGCAGAATCAAATGCCTTCTTTAAATCAATGAACATTAGACATAGTGGCATCTTGAAATCCCGAGAAACCTCAGTGAGCTTGGTTACCATGTGCATATAGCCAATGGTGCTGAATCCTTTTTGAATCCTGGCTTGCTCCCATGCTTGTCCTTCATCTAGTGTTCTGCCAAACCTACTCAGGATGACTCAAGTGAACGGCTTGTAGATGACAGACAACAGGCAGATCGGGCGATAGTTGCCAATGTCGTGGATGTCTCCCTCCCCGTACAGTAGAATGGTACTGCTGTTTTTCCACTGCGATGGAAACTTGCATTCAGACAAGTAGTGTGTGAAGAGCCGAGCCAGTGTATTTATGAGTACTGACGGCAGATTCTTCAGGTGCTCAGGTCTGACTTTGTCTGGGGTGGGTGCTGTTTGCTTCTTTACTAAATGACGTGTTGGATTTTAGAAGGGAGAATGTTGGGAATGACATATCCATCCTGTGGAATTTGGTATGTGGGCAGGTAGACATGTCTATTGAAGAGATCTGAGTAGAAGTTATGGATAATCTTCTCCATTGCCCTTCTGGAAGATGTGATAGACCCATCAGGACGTCAGAGGGCAGTCATCTTGGTCTTGTGGTTGGTGAAGACAGGCAGGCATTTCAAATACTTTTCCCGGCTTCTGCCGCATTGGCCAGCCCTGCTGCTCTTCTCTCTTTGAGGTCTTCCTTGATCACTTCTCTGCACTGCTTTGTGAGCTTGGACATTAGCCTGTGGTTGCCTGAGGCTTGCACCCAGCCACTCTTACTAAATTTTACATTTTACATTTTAAGGATTTATCTATTTAGTGTAAATTTTAAAATGTATTAGCAGAGAATTATTTATAAGATTATTTTTTAAAATCTACCTGTAAATACTGGGCTGGAGTGATAGCACAGCAGGTAGGGTGTTTGCCTTGCATGCAGCCGACCCAGGTTCGATTTCTTCACCCCTCTCGGAGAGCCCAGCAAGCTACTGAGAGTATCTCATCCGCACAGTAGAGCCTGGCAAGCTACCCATGACATATTCAATATGCTGAACACAGTAACAACAAGTCTCACAATGGAAATGTTACTGGGTCTGCTCAAGCAAGTCAATGAACAACAGGAAGACAGTACTACAGTGCTTCCTGTAAATTAAAGGTATATTTTTGAAAAAAAATTATCATTGATATGCAATTTTATGGGTTGGAGCGATAGCACAGCAGGTAGGGTGTTTGCCTTGCATGCGACCGACCTGGGTTCGATTCCTCCACCCCTCTTGGAGAACCCGGCAAGCTACCGAGAGTATCTCGCCTGCACAGCAAAGTCTGGCAAGCTACCTGTGATGTATTTTATATGCCAAAAACAGTAACACTGGTGCCCGCTCGAACAAATTGATGAACAACGGGAGGACAATGACATGACAGTGATGCAATTTTATGGAATTCCAGGAGATGAGCTTTATCCATCTATATGTGTTTGGTCATCACCACTTCCACAATAACAGAGAGCTATCTCTCATATATGAGATTAAAAGCAGGTAACATAGAAGGGTGGAACAAATTGTCAAAATCACTAGAACTGATACATGGATGAATCGGGAGAATTTCATGCTGAATAAAGATAGAGGGAAAGGAAAGACACAGAATGAGCTCTCTCATGTGTGGGACATAAAGAAACTGCATATGACAATAACAAATGCCCAAAAGCAATATATACAAAGAGAAGGAGAATTGTCCTTCAACAGGAAGTTTGCCACTGGGGTAGGTGTGGTGGGATAAATAAGGAAAGGGAACACTATGGAAGGGGAAAACGTGCCTGCATAGAGGCAGCCTAGGGGGTGGGGCAGAAACTGGTGCCTCAATGAAAATGGGTTTAAATTTAAAGAGTAGAAAGAAAGAGTAGAGAAGAGGATTTCACATTTTCTAATGTGAAAAAGTCATCTAATGTGAAAATAGTAATCTGTTGTGAAATGTGTGAACCAGAAATACAGCAGGTTTCTAGCTTGTGACCCTATTTGCGGGACAGCTGACTTCAAGGTATCCACCCTTTTGACTCTTTAACTTTCTGCCCACAGCAAAGATGGGATACCCTATTGCATGCATGACTCTACTCTGAGAAGAACAACCAATATCAGGGATATCCAGCCAAATGCCACTAATCAACATTCTAGTAACTTCACGTGGGAGTTTCTGTCAACTCTGAATGCAGGCCAGTGGTTTATAAATCATCCGGTAAGAACTATTATTTTGCTCAACAACCTTGTGTTGAATCACTTTTCTGTATAAGGAGATGAGGAGTCACTCTTCTGCTTCTGGAGATGAAGGCTTTATATAAAGCTAGCAAATGTCTACATAATTTTACTCAAGTTTGATAGTATGGTTGTAGCATTGTCAGGGGGTGTTTCTTGTAAAGCTGTAAAATTGTTGCTTTCTATATTCAATAGAATTCTGAATAAAATGTTTTAAACTTACTCAGATCATTCTATACCCTTTACTCAAGATTTCATGAACATATACAGTTCCTCCCATGTACATAGACTATTCTTGGGTATATTGGGTAGGTCACAATAGATGAGGCAGACTAGAAAAAAACTTTACTTTAAAAATAAATGAATCACCATGCTGAGTGAAATGAGTAAGAAGGAGAGGAATAGACATAGAATGATTGGACTAACTTGTCAGATTAAAAAAAACAACAACCATAATTTGAGACCAATGCCCAAGGACAGTAGAAACAAGGCCAGGAGGATTGGTTCATGGTTGGAAGCCTCCCTCAAGTGCTGGGGAGAAGGCAGTTGGGATAGAGAAGGGACCACCATGACAAACATTTTTGTTTTTAAATATTCTTTTGTGGAGGTTCATGCATCAAACTCAGGGCTTCAGACAATCAAAGCACATGCTGTACACTGAGCTACAGAAATGTTTGCCTGAGGTACTGGAGCAATAGTATAGCGGATAGGCCTTGCCACAGATGACCCAGGTTCAAACCATGTGATCCCCTGAGCCCTCCAGGAGTAATCCATGAGTGCAGTTCCAGGAGTAAGCCCTGAGTACCACCAGGTTTGCTCCCACCCCCACAAAAAAACCCAAAAATACCCTGATTTCTTCATGCTATTCAAAATGGTCATTGGCGACATATTTTATTTATTTATTTATTTATTTATTTATTGCTTTTTGGGTCACACCCAGCGATGCGCAGGGGTTACTCCTGGATCTGCACTCAGGAATTACCCCTGGCAGTGCTCAGGGGACCATATGGGATGCTGGGAATCGAACCTGGGTCGGCCGAGTGCAAGGCAAACGCCCTACCCGCTGTGCTATTGCTCCAGCCCCAGGCTACATATTTTATACACATCAGAGAAAATACATTTGTGATGAAATGTAGACATAGCCCTAATGGAATGTACAGAATAGTATAAGAAACAATTACAGTATATTGTGATAAATACTGTTCACACTGTCACTGTCCTCCTGTTGTACATCGATTTGCTCGAGTGGGCCAAGTAATGTCTCCATTTTGAGACTTGTTGTTACAGTGTTTGGCATATTGATACTCTCGGTAGCTTGCCGGGCTCTCCGAGAGGGGTGGAGGAATCGAACTGGGTTTGGCCAGGCCGGCTGCGCGCAAGGCAAATGCCCTACTGCTTTGCTATCGCTCCAGCCAATAAATGGGAATTAATTTTAGTTTTCCCAGGAGCACACAAGAATAAATTCTGTTTTTTTGTTTTGTTTTTATTAACATATGAGTTACACAGTTGTTCATAGTTGAGTTTTATTACTCCGGTCTCTGTGCTCACTCATTTCAGGCCCACTTGGGGGACCACACGCAATGCTGGGGGATTAAATCTTCATCAGCCACATGCAAGGCTAATGCCCTCCCTGCTGTACTATCACTCCGGCCCATAGTTGAGTTTTAGCCATACTATGTTCCAGCACCAATCCCCCACCAGTGTCAACTTCCCTTCACTAGTACCCCAGGCAGCCTCCAACCTGCCTCACTTACAGGCACATTTTGAAATTTGGTTGTTGTGGTTTGGATCTCCTGCTTTCATTGTTACTGACTTCGTGGTTTCAATATATAACTAGACCAACCACTACATCACCAAAGTACCTGAAGTCCTTGGCCCCTGCCTCCATTACTTCCCAGCCACCTCTTATTCACCCCTCGATATCTTTCTTTCTCTGTCCTTTCCTCCTCCCTATATTCTGGAGTCAGAGATGGACTGGGCATCCCCCCTTTACTACACTGGAGTCAGGGATGGACTGGGCATCCCCCCTTTACTATTCCCTATCCTCTCACTGTGGTCTTTCTGTCTTCTTTGACTTTTCTTAAACCCTGAGGTCATGCCACACACACTGCTTATTGTTTGGAAGCTCCTGAGGCAAAATCTTCCCAGAACTATTTACTGGTTTCTGTCAGACTCTTCCTCAGTGGGGCTGCTCACTGCATTCTTTGGTCATTTTTATGTTTTGCATTTTGGACTCACTATGATTCACTGGGAATGTTTCTCTTTTCTTGACCCCCACTTCCTTCTTTTTGAGGGTTTTTATCATAAAAGAAAGAAGGATATCAACAAATACCTTTTATTTTTGCTTCTATAATGATTGTATAATTATTGACCTTTTTGTAGATGTTGTCCATCACAGTTTCTGATTTGTGTATTGTGAACCATTCTTGTATCTCTGAGTAAATCCCAGTTAATCATAGTGCATGATTCATCTAAGGTATTGTTGAATTCTGTTTTCTAGAATATTGTTTACTGGTTTTACCTCTATATTTGTAGGGTATTGGTCTATAGCTAAATTTTTGTGACATCACTATTTGTTTTGTGAATTAGTGTAATATATGCTTCACAGAATGTACTTTTTAACCTTATGGACAAGTTTAAGAGAAGGGCTGATATTCTTCTTTGAAAATCTAGTAGAATTCACTAGTCCTGGGCTTTTATATGGGGCAGGGAATAGGGAAAGCTTTTGATTATTATTTGAAATTTTTACTCATGTAATCTCGATTCAGTTTTTTAAATTTTTTCCTGATTTAGTCTTAAAATTGTATCACTAGATCACTTGATATCCCGTTACTCATTGATCTGCTCGAGCAGGCACCAGTAATGTCTCCAATCATCCCTCTCGCGTGCTAGTGTAGCCCAGTGGCATCTGCTTGCTTCAGGAACACGAAGAACCTCAGACCGTTTGTTCAGGGTCTTGATGAAGAAGTCTGACCATCTTGTAGGTGGGCGGCAACATGATTTTTTGAGTCCCATGGAATCCAGTCAGTAACAGCTCTAGTCCAGCAGTTGTCTTCAAATTGCATTAAGTGTCCAGACCATTTGATTTTCGATGCCTTGGCAAATAAGACAGCATCCCTAATTCTTGATCATCCATGGAGGTTGAAACTCCGGATTCCTTCTCTCACTTGAGTGAAGCGTGATACTCCAAGCATAAGTCTTTCGGTTCCTCTTTGGGTGACCCAAATAGCGTTCTCATCCTGTTTTCATCAGGCCCAGATCTCTGAAGCATATGTTAGTACAGGGAGAATGGTGGAGTCGAAGAGATGGGCCCAGAGCCATAGGGTCTTTGTTCTCTTAGTTATTTCTTCGATGCTCTTGAAGACATTCCACTCTGCTCTCTTCCTCCTGCGCAGCTCAGGTGCCAGGTTCGTCATGTTGAGTTCTTGACCTAGGTACAAATATCTGCTGCATTTGGAGATGTTCATTCCGTTGAGAGCAAATGAAACATCAGGAACGAGTCCATTTTTCATAAACATTGTCTTTGTGATATTCAGCTGTAGTCTGATCTTTCCACACTCACGGTCAAAGTTGGCCAGTATTTGTGCCGCTTGGCTAATGTTTGGTGTACTTAGAATGATGTCACCAGTGAAGCAGAGGTGGTATAGTTGCCATTCCTTCCCATTCCAGTTGTTGCATGACGTTCTCGAGGGTGGCACTGAAGAATTTCGCTGAAATGGTATTGCCCTGCCGAACCTCTCTCTTTATGTTGATGATCACGTCCTTGTAGGATGGTGAGATCCTGGTGGTGAATCAGTAATACAGCTCATAATACTGATGTACTGAGTTCAAATGCCCTGTTTGGCTAGGGTTTCAATGACTGTTTCAGTCTCAACAGAATCAAAGGCCTTCTTTAAATCAATGAACATTAGAGCGGCATCTTGAACTTGCGAGAAACCTCACTGAGCTTGGTCACCACGTGGATATGGTTGATCATGCTGAATGCTTTTCGGAACCTGGCTTGCTCGCATGGTTGTCCTTCATCTAGTGTTCTGCCAATCCTATTCAGGATGACTCAAGTGAATGGCTTGTAGACAATGGACAACAGGCAGATCAGGCGATGGTTGTCAATGTTTTGGATGCCTCCCTTCTTGTACAGTAGAACGGTCCTGCTGGTGTTCCATTGGGACGGAACCTTGCATTCAGACAGGTAGCGTGTGAAGAGCCAAGCCAGTGTATTGACGAGTACTGACGGCAGATTCTTCAGGTGTTCGGGTCTGACCTTGTCTAGGCTGGGTGCTGTTCGCTTCTTTACCGACAAAAATGGCATGTTAGATTTCAGAAGGTTGAATGTTGGGAACAACATATCCATCCTGCGGAATTTGGTATGTGGGCAGGTGGACATGGCTATCGAAGAGGTCCGAGTAGAAGTCATGGATAATCTTCTCCATTGCCCTTCTGGAAGATGTGACAGATCCATCAGGACATCGGAGGGCAGTCATCTTGGACTTGTAGTTGGCGAAGGACAGGCAAGTGTTTTGAATACTTTTCCCAACTTCTGCTGCATTGGCCATCACTGCTACTCTTCTCTTTGAGGTCTTCTTTTATTGCTTCTCTGCACTGCTTTTTGAGCTTGGATGTTAGCTTGTGGTTGCTTGAGGCTCGTACCAAGCCACATTGGCGAATGAGCTTGAGAGTTTCTGAAGACAGGTGTCTTTTTTGTGGCTTCCTCTCTCTCAGTGTTCCTCGCACAGTCATGGAGGTGCTGAATCAGTTGATCGTATTCCTCGTCAATGTTGTCAATGATGGCATCTTCCCATGTTGCCGCAATAGTGCCAAAGAGCTCCCAGTTGGTGGTCGTTCTGGGAGTTCTCTTCTTAAACTTTGCAGCCTTTTCTCCCCTCTTCATGAAGTAGAATTTTACATGAAGGAGACAGTGGTCTTATCCCATTTGGAATTTTGGAACAACAGTGACATCAGTCAGGCGTAACTATCAATTGAATA